CATCTGAGAGTGGGTATTCTGATTGTTTATTATTCTGTGATTAGGGTATCATAGTTAATTGGTTTAAAACTAAGTAGTTAAATAACTGAACTAAAGACATTAATCTAGTTGAAAAATTTATTTATTTTAATGATGTAGGTAATAATAATAGTATATTACATAACGAGAGTTGTAAGAAGCTTATTACATGCGAGTAAAAAAGTTGCGCGCGAGCCGCGTAGCGGCGAGCGCAGTAATGTTACAAGCATGTAATAAGCTTACAACTCAAGTTGTGTACTATACTTTTTCTACGATTATTTTCGTTTATAAAAAGAAGAATTAAATTACCACTATATTTACACTGACAGATTAATAATTTTTATTCTGTCAAAATAACGTATGTTAATTCGTTTCCATGGTAACTCGACTAACTCACTTACGAGGCTTATGTGATATTACACATTTTTATAAAACTGAAGCGTACTTTTTTTTATTACGTGCTAGTTATTACGTGTCAGTATCTGTTATGATGCATTTACTTAGCATCCAAATAGTAGTTAATATACAATTTACTAGCAAGAGAGTAGAAAAATATATTTATGGTTATATAATATATACCCATAAATATATTTTTGTACTCTTTCTTACTTACTCCGTGGCGTTACAAGTAACTGTTTTCTGTCTTGAGCAACCTCCATCCAATTCTCCACGCCCATAGTGCTTAGGTCTCCTGCTATATTATCTCGCCACCGGAGACGAGGGCGTCCGCGTGGTCTCCTTCCAGTTGGGACTTCCTGCCACACCAGTCTTACTGTTCGTTCGTCAGAATGTCTTCTGAGGTGTCCTGCCCATTGGAGTCTTCTGGACTTTATTTCTTTTATGATGTTGGCGTCTGGGTAAAGTTCTTCAAGCTCTTTATTAGTTCTTATCCTATATTGTCCTGATGTTTCATCAAGCACCGGACCAAAGATCTTCCTTAGGATTTTTCTTTCCCAAACACGTAGTCTCTCTTCATTTGCCTTTGTCATCGTCCACGTTTCGCTTCCATACATCACAACGGGTCGTATGATTGTTTTATAGACCTGTATCTTCGTACGTCGTGTTAGTTGTTTTGATTTTATAAGGTTTTGGAGGGCAAAAATACATCTGTTGCCGGCCTGAATCCTGTTGTTTATTTCTTGTGATCCGTTATTGTCTTCAGTTATTGTTGTTTCAAGATACTTGAATTCCCTAACGCGCTCAAAGTTAAAGTCATCGATGGTAATGTTCTGACCGATTCTGTCTCTGCTTTGGTTATTGCGGCTCATATACATTTTTCTACTCTCTTACTAGTAAATTGTATATTACCACATCAAAACCCACTGTTACCCACTGATAAATATATTATATTTATTGGTTTTGATCAGTGGATAATGTGAGGTTTTTATACGGAAAGGAAACAGTTGTCAAAATCGTGTGACAGATTAAAGTATTTAAACTGAAGTATTAGTAACATAATTCCATTTTTATATCAAACGTAACAGTAATTCATTTATTATAAAGAAAACATCACAGCGTCCGGAAGTCGCGGCTGATCTGAGAGATACATTGAAAACATTTTTATAAATATTTTGAAAGAAGAGCATCGTATAATTTTATGGCACTGTCTAGCTTCACATTTATGTCTTAGAAGTGGGGAACAATACAACGTTGGCTTTTAGGTAATTTCTAGCGGTTAAGAAGTGAACGTTTCTCGTAACCGACAACAGTTGTATCTGACAGATACCGCGACCTCGCAGATCGAACGTATATTTTTTCGTGTCTATTTCGTTGTGTGATCTATATTATATTGAGAATGTCGGAAAAGGTATATAAGTTAGATGATCCAAAGGATCTTAAAGGCCTTCAGAGTATGTTTCTCGATTCTGACGATGGAAATTAAAGAAATGAGTTTGAAGGCGAAAGTAGTGTAGACAAAATCGATTATGTCGAAGAGCGATTAGAAAACTCGGACAACGAATAAGATATTTCTAGTGAAGAGAGCAAAGAGAACGTATATGAAAACGGGGAGTATTTTTCGGAAAAGTCAAAGTAAAAAAGTATGGAAAAAAGCCAGTTTACAGAAATAAAATTAGGCGACAGAAACAAAATATTATGTGACAATTACCTTTAGTAAAGAATGCAAAAACTCAATATGAACAGAGAATGAGATGCTAAACAAACCGACAAAATAGAACTAACATCATTTTTGGGCCATTTGTATTTAGCTGGCTTACCCCGCAGTAATCGACTAAATTTGAAAAATTTATAGGCAACAGATGGTAGTGAAATTAAATTATTTAGACTTACGATGTCAATGCAAAGATCCAAATGTATTCACAACTGTATAAGATTCGATGACAAGCAGACTCGACCAGATCGACTAAAGATTGATAAAGTTGTCTGCTGTTCAAAGAAAGAGAAGACAAATCTTTGCACTATGTATAGAAAACTGCAAAAAAGGATACTCTATAGCACTAAACGTAACTATAGACTAGATGTTGGCAAGTTTTTAGGGCAGATGCGGATTTAGGCAATATATCCCTTCGAAACCTAACAAACATGGGATTAAAATGTTTTCCGTGGTTGGTTCTAAGCTATTTTACACAGGCAATATGAAAATTTATGCAGGACTGCAGCCTGAAGGTCCATTTCCTGTTGGTAATAAACCAGTAGATGTGTTCAAGAGATTAGCTAAACCCATCCTTACTCCAGGATGAAATATTACTGCTGATAATTGGTTTACCGATCTTACTCTTGTCAGCAATTTGAAAAAAAAAACAGACTATCATAATATGTAGGGACAGTCAAAATAAACAAACGTTATTTACCACCTAAATTAGTAAGTATGGCAAACAGACCAATATAATCTAACTTGCTTTTATTGAAGATTGTACACTTGAACTGCATGTGCCGAAGAACGATAAAAATCAATTATTGCAATCGGACGAAATCAGAGGTTGACAATGTAATGTGTTTTAATATTGTTATAAATAAATAATAAAATTAGGGACTAATTTATGGCCACAAAATTATGCAAATAATAAATATAGAATATGAAAATAAAAGAAATCTTCGTCAAAGTGGTGTACATGTACAGTGTAAGGGAAAAACCTGTTTAAGAGACCTTAACAAAGAAATAAAATGAAGATGCAGGGCTGATACACAACAATACTATACTACTAATAAGTATCCTAAGTATACTATAAGATAATCATACAATGCATATAACAATAAATAACATATACAATATATATATATATATATATTGTGTGGTCTTCAACGGCCCAAGTTCTGGCTCTAAATTCTGTTTTTATGTATCGTTTTTTTTTTAAATAAATCTTTTGGGTAATTGTTTTGATTGTGGCTCCCAATAGTATTGTTATATATATATATATATATATATATATATATATATATATATATATATATATATATATATATAACAATACTATTGGGAGCCACAATCAAAACAATTACCCAAAAGATTTATTTAAAAAAAAAACGATACATAAAAACAGAATTTAGAGCCAGAACTTGGGCCGTTGAAGACCACACAAGAACTTTGGCAATGGCCTGACGACTGGACAACATCTATAATAATGACAATACATGAAAAATAGCTTTATAAAAGCAACATTTTTAAAACCATCTCACATGCCAGAAAAATAATGCTATACAGAATCAATGAGAGACTGACAACTTTTCTACGAGAAAAACCCCAAGAGCAAATTGGATTTACCAAAGGTAGAGAGAGGTACTCGACAACATCTTTTGAAAATAAGGCAAATTATGGAAAAATCTATTCAATATCCTACTATACATTTGTTTTATAGATTATCGCAAAGTGTTTGACAGGATCAAATACCATAACTTATGACAGGTACTGAAAGAAGTAAGCGTACTTATTATTATTTCGTAAGCACTTAGCAATATTTTCACATCTTTTCTGTATTTGATATTCTTGCTTCTATTATAAGTCGTTTCTTCCGTAAGTCAAGAAACACTTATAAATATTTGTGCATCTATTTTACCATATTTTATTCTTTTGTTTATTTTCTGCTCTAAGTTGTTTCTTCCGTAAGTCAAGAAACACTTAGACATATTTCTATAATCTGTTTCCTTTTCGCATTTCTTGTTTGATACTTTAAGTGTTTTATTTTTCATTTCTAAGTCGTTTCTTCCGTAAGTCAAGAAACACTTAGGAACATTTCTCTTGCATTATATTTTTATACCATTTGATTTACTTGTTTTACTAAGGTATTCCTTCCGTAAGTAAAGGAATACTTAGATTATTTTTACCTATCTGTTTTCCATTTTTGCTCTGATACTGTTCCGTGGAACCGTTACCTATAACAGATATTTGTCACTGGAACCGTTATTTATAACAGCAGTGGTATTTAACCCTTATACCAGCGGCAGATCAAAGATGGTAAATACCCGTTCCAATTCCGGGGATAGGAATAAGCCCGAAGAGCCGGCGATGGGTCCTACAGGCCCAAATGCCCCCTCTCGGCAACATGAGAACGGTATTTGCTTTTTAATTCCACTTGTATTGTCTCATATCGTTAAAATTGTTTAACATATTTTTAATTATTTTATGAATCTTTCGAATTATTAGAATTATAAATTCGCTGTTAATATGGGTTTAATTAGTTAATTATTTATATGGTTCTCAACGTTTCACAATTTGTTTTGGTGCTTTATATTCCTATTTATGAATTTCACAGTTATTTTTATATCAACTTTTATCTCCCACTTTTTTCTCCCATATAATATAATACGATTCATTTTACTCGCTTAGTATAGTTTTGTTTTTCTCCACAAAACTATTTATAAATCCTAAGCAAAAAAATTAAAACAGTTTTGCTAGCATTATTTGTAATATGATCTAATTTTCCTGTACTAAAATACTTGTAAACTTAACATTAATTTTAAAATAAAAAGGTGAGGTACAATAAAAATATGAAATTGGTTAATATAAAAAGGATTATTCATTGTGAATCAAATATAGTGTGTAAAGTGAACAAAATGGACAAAAGGTTAACAAATATCATATTGCTAAGTATAGCAATTTTACTACTATATACAGGAGCACAAACAATGGGCAGTATTCAAAAAACTATCATTGATAGTATAAAGAAGGACACATCGTTTGAGGAAAATGGGTATTATAGCCAGGCCATAAATAGCGCTTTTTTTTCTGTGTTCACTTGGGCAGTGCCATCAGTGATTCACAGTTTTGGTGTTAAGCTGACTCTGTGCTTAGGTGCTCTGTTGAATGTTTTGTTCATATTACAATTCTTGCTAGAAAAAGTGTGGATTCTGTACGTGTTCTGTAGTTTAGCAGGCTTTGGTACAGCTTTATTAGGAGCAGCATTAGGTAACTATGTGTCTCTAAACTCTTCAGAGAATACCATAAATAGAAATACTGCTATATTCACAATAATTTCGAGTTTTAATATGATAACCGGAAATATAATTGTTATGTGTGGATTTAGTGGACACAGAGAAATAAATAAACATACTCGTATATTAGTGTTAGCAATATTCGCTGGAGTTAGTGCAATAGGGTTAATAGTGTTTTTATTTCTTCCTAAACATCAAAAGGAGGAAAAGAGTAAAGATATTAGTGACTCTGGAGCAGTAGAGTCGTTTTTAGAAGCACTTAAGTTATCTATTACCAAAAATATGTTACTATTAGGCGTAATTTTTATGTATGGAGGAATACTTTCCGGATTTATGAATGGAATTTACTCCTCCGCACTAGGTTTTACGCAGAACCTTCAAAACTCTAAGCAATTGGTTGGCTTATCCGGAATATTTGTAGGTATCGGAGAAATATTTGGAGGCAGTGTAGTAACTATTTTTGGTAAAAAAGTGGTTGATTTAGGTCGAAATCTCTTGACAGTAATTGCATGTTCTTTGCATAGCTTAAGTTATATATTAATTTTTATTAATCTTCCAAATAACTCTCCATTTGGAGATACGACTGACAAAGCTATTATAGAAAGTAATACAGTTCTTGCCATGTTTTGTTCATTTCTTTTAGGACTTGGAGATTGTATATACGTAAATGTTATATTTAGCTTAATAGGAACAATTTATTCTGAAAACTCTGCAACAGCTTTTTCGATCTTACAATTTTTTGTTGGTATTGCATCAGTTATTGATTTTCTTACTGCTGATTATTTAGGAATGTATTACCAAGTTGCAACTTTGTTTATATTAGGGATACTGGGTACTACGAGCCTTATAACAGTAAACATTTCCAGCAAGCAAAATAAGATAATTGAACATAAAAGCAAAACTGAAATTTCTCAGTAAATTTCCACATGAATCTCAATAATATTAAATTTCATTGTATATTAGGTTTTATTGTATGTTTAAGTACTGTAAAAAATTGTATATTGTAATTTATTAAATATTTTTATATTGTAATGTATTATACTGTATATTATTTAAATAAATTTATTTATAAAATTAAAATAGTTTTTGTGTGACTCATACATTTAATTTAAAACAGGGAGTAGTTTGTAGGTAGTTTAGATTACTTATGTAAATGAGGAAACTAGTAATAATTTTTTCTTTTTTGTTGTTTAATAAATTTTTAAGAGGTAAAATTTTTATTTTCAATATATTTGGAGCTTAAAGTATAAGAGTTCGTCTTCTTAATTGCAATTGCAATTGCAAATATGTTCATCAATTTATATACGATGTGAAGAAAACAGTGACTAAATATTTAAATAGACATTGTACTCTAATGTATGAATAATATTGGCAAACTCTTCATAAAATCTAAATTAATAAAGCTATTAATAAAGGTTTGGTAATAAAATATAACAATTATTAAAACTCTGTATAAACTAACTGTAATGGTTTAAGCTGAAGTGGAAGCAACTGAGAACTGCGTGTGTATTTAACTTCGAAATATGGATAAAATTATGGTAACATTATACTAAAAGAAAAGTAAAAAATAAAAAAAAATTCAACATGCTCCACTGGTATTGTAAGTGATATATGAAAAATGGAAAAAAAAGTGAAAACTAATCTAGAAAAAATTATTAAAAAATAATAAATTGCTTTGAAAAATTTTGAAATTTACGCTTAATATTATTACCTATCTCTTTATTCTTTTCTATTTGTATCATTATACAGATTTAGCCATATGGCTTACACTTTCCTCTAAGGAAAAAATTAACTCATTCCAGATACCTACGATATAATAAGGATTGAGCTCTGGAGGGACTTTTTCCGTGATATAGTGGAGTATCCCACAAAAATTTTCGTACACATCTGGACGTCACGAGGAGTACAGCTTTCTTCGTAGGCTTATAGAGATGTTCATTTAGATCCAGCTTTTTTATGTTCTCTAGGAGGTTTTTGGGAATAACAGCAGTAGTAGATAGAATAATAGGTACTGTCTGGGTACTTTCAATTCTCCATTATCTCCTGAATTGTATTTCTAGATCTCTGTACTTGGCGACTTTTTCGTTGTATTTAACACGCATAACAAGCTATTGTATCACCACATTAATAAGTGTTGCTTACCTAGTTAGTTTAATTATCACTATAAGATCAGGTATATTATGTACCACTGGTTGGTCTGTGAGCACAGTGCGGTCCTAGTGTAGCTTTTAGTTGTACGGCTGAGTGGTGATGGATACAGATCCACAAATTTATCACGGAACTGCGCTCTTCAAAAGAACGACATGAGAGCAAACATGTAACCGAATTTTAAAACAAGGAGGAGCACCTCAGTGGGGTTCGGACTGTCGCAAGCCGAAGTAGGAGCCAATGTGAGATAAATGACGTGAGAGAGATGGCAGCCTCGCTAAGACAGGGGGTTGAAAGTCTTTAATGGTTCATATGAGTATGATTTTCCCAATAAATGTGTAAAAGAAAGAATGGAAATTGGGGGCTAGTAGAGTATCGGTAAAGATGTTCTACCCTAACCAGCCAATCGATCCTGACGTGTGGAGTGACAGATGAGATGTTTTTAGTTAGATGCAACCGTCTCGGAGTCGTAACAGGACGAAGTAGCAAAGGTCTAACACCCTCGAGCATCTCATCTTGACACAACTTGGTTAGGATGTTTATTTACCTAACACTACCTGAGTGAGTCACAGGTGTCTGCATGCAAATTTTCCTTCTCTTTAAACATGTAAAATATATATAGCTTTAAAAAAAAAAGAGGTTAGTCTTCGTAAATGGGTATATTTATTTAAAAAACCCTTAAAAGGGCTACATCAATAAAACAAACGTTTTCGGACCACACGTCCATCATCAGGTTTTAAAATCGAAAAAATGCCTAAAAATAAGTATAAACCATTTAGTTAAAACAAACCTGATTATGAGATTTTGACTATGGTTGAAAAGCAAAAGATGGTTATACTTACTAGGTCACAATGCCTAAGCCACCAAAATACTAGGGTAAAAACCCTTTAAATTACATTTAGTTATAAAAGATTATACATTGTGTTGTAAAATAACTGTGACGTTCAGTATTAAATTAAATATGGCTAGAGGTAACACATGGCTGAAGCGAGTTCCAGAGCCGGTGAGAGAACCTCTACACGCGGAGAACAGCTGGGAACTGATTGACAAGATACTTATGAATTATTTTGGTGGCTCAGGCATTGTGACCTAGTAAGTATAACCATCTTTTGCTTTTCAACCATAGTCAAAATCTCAAAATCAGGTTTGTTTTAACTAAATGGTTTATACTTGTTTTTAGACATTTTTTCGATTTTAAAACCTGATGATGGACTGTGTGGTCCGAAAACGTTTGTTTTATTAAGGTAGCCCTTTTAAGGGTTTTTTTTAGATAAATATACCCATTTACGAAGACTAACCTCTTTTTTGTGATACGTGGTATACAGCCAGCTACAGGAATTTTCTTCCTTGTGGATTTTATATAGCTTTTAGTCATTTTCAGCTTTCTGTCAGGGACGTATTGGTAATAAGGAAGATGGTCAGTTTGAAGAGGTCCCAGTTTGTCAGTTAGTTTTTGATGGATAATTTTTTCTACTGAGCAACCTTCAGTAAGACATTGGATGGTTTCTTGGGCTTGGAATCCATATCGGCATTTGTAAGTTTGAACTTAATTATCTTTCGGGTTAACAATATTTTTTTAGGGTAACAATATATTTGGGCTTATTTTTAGTTAAAATAACCTGATTCTGAATGGTAAGTAGGGAACCCTCAGTCTCGGGAAACATCTTTCCTGATGTTAAGCAATAGTTTGATACTGAATTGTTGACATATCCTTGGCTAATATTACCGAAATGTCGCCCATTCAGGGGTTTACTGATCCATGTGCGCATTTTTCTGGCTTAGGCAGGTAATTTGTGCGCATTTCTTGTATCCTAAGTTCAAGCATCGTTATATCATCTACTGCTAAAATTGCTCGATATAAAGTTGATGTCTCAGCCGGCACCTCAGGTAAGTTCTTAAATTAGTAACTTGTTTGTCCAGTTATTATGTCCATAAGTCCCCTTCCTACTTGATACAGCGGTAATGTTGATCTCTCTACTGCATGGCGTGGATAGTGTTTTTGCGCCTTTGTAAAAAGTGTTGTTACTTTCCACTGGAGACTTTCTATTTCCAATTTACCCACTTTATAATACCCGATTAGTAGTTAAACGTCGAACAGGCATAAATTTTTGCCATAAATATATGACCGATTTAGCTGTCTTACCTTACGCACACACTTAGAAGTTGGTTCAGTTTACATTAAATAGGTAAAGAAATAATAATAAGACTTACTCACAATCAATTTAATTTAATAATCAGACGACCGGTTTCGCTTTCTACAATTTGCAAAGCATCTTCAGGTCTAGATACAAAGTTAAACTAATGTATCTTTGTATCTAGACCTGAAGATGCTTTGAAAATTGTAGAAAGCGAAACCGGTCGTCCGATTGTTAAATTAAATTGATTGTGAGTAAGTCTTATTATTATTTCTTTACCTATTTGATATGGACTCACACAAACAACACATTCATGATCAGTTTTCATTAGTTTATTGTCCATTTTCCGCACTTGCTGTATTCAGACATATTTGTATATATCATTTGCACCAATTGCCTCGAGGTTTGGGCCATCTTGCATATAGAAACCTTTCGGCTGAACTTATCCTCTGACTATATTTAGTATACGGCACTTCATAATTATTAATCTTCGCCACAATTCTTTTTTGATGCTGAAACATAAGTCAGTGGAGTTCAATAGCCGAGACAGTGGGTTCATTGCTAGACAGAACCAAAGTGGAATCGTCAAGTCCCCTTGAAAAAAACCACGAATAATTGGGATATCGTCAGTTTCGATATTATTTTCAGCAGGTATTTAAATGAGGTATACAGCCTGAGTCTGAACTTCAAAAAGACAAAGTGGATGCTGATAAGCAAAAAGCAACAACCTGCTCGACAATTACGGATAAAAAACATACTAATTGACCATGTAGAATCTTATGTGCACCTTGGCACCAACGTAAATGCAAAATGGGAACAGACCATAGAAATCCCCTAAAACTACGTCTAGTTAAATGCTACATTTTTCCGATCTTGCTGTATGGCGTGGAGGCCAGGACGCTGACGGAGACGCTAACGAGAAAACTAGAAGCATTCGAAATGTGGGTTTACCGAAGCATTCTTCGTATATCCTGGACCGAACATGTCACGAACATAGAGGTACTCCAAAGAAGCGGAAAGGAGAAAGAAATCGTGAATACAATTAAACAAAGAAAGCTTGAATATCTAGGCCACATATTGAGACATCATAAGTACCGTCTGCTACAATTGATTGCCCAGGGAAAAATAGACAGTAAGCGAGGGCCAGGCAGGAGAAAACACTCGTGGCTCCAAAATCTGCAGAAGAGGTTGGGGCTCACATCAGTCGAACTATTCAGAAGCGCCGCAAACAAGATCAAAATTGCCATGTTAATAGCCAACGTTCGCAACGGACAGGGCACTTGAAGAAGAAGAAGGTATTTAAAGGTTAATTTTAGTCCTTTACTCCGTCATTATATGTTTTAGAAAGATCACTATATTATTATCGACTTTATATGTATGCCGTTTATACGGCACTGAATTAAAGACCTTTCTGTAGTCAATGAAGACAGTAAAACGTTTTCTTTTTTTGTGTATGCCTGGTTAGAAATTACTGAGTTGATAAAAAGTTGTTTTCTGCAAACCATGAAACCCTTAGCGCATCCTTTCTGCTTAGGCTCCATGATATTGTTTAAAACGCATCGTTGGTAGATATGCCGGGCTACACAGGATGTGGCTAATTTATACACATTTAGAAGACAAGTAATTGGGCTATACTTGGCTGAATCTTAAGTGTTATTTTGATCCTTTGGTATTAGAGGTTCTCTTGTGTAAGAAATCATGGTATTTCCTACGGATTAGAGATAACATTAATATTCAACATTGACCAACACTCATGAACATTCCA